TTACTGTGTTATTCTGATGTTCTACTGTCACAAGAATTACAGAATTACAAAAAAAAACGTTTTTCAGGAGAAAAGAAAACCCTCCAAAAATACACTCATCAAGAAAGACTTGAATCATCATGATTCGTTAAATATGAGATTTAAAAAGGCGTCTTTACTTAGTCTTATGGTATTATACAGTTAAATTGTTTTCTAATAAAAATGAGTTAAACCCTTATTTGATATCTTCACGAACATGCACACAATACACACACAAAATCCATCTTACACTCTCTCATCACACATCAATAATTTAAAAAGGTAGATTTGAGAAGGGTAAGACTTAGTCAAGATTAGATTAAGATCAGAATTCCTATCCTTATCCTCTCCTTATATCTTTTATCATTAATACCCTCACCTTGTCCTAATTTCTCCTTAGTTTATCCTCTCTTTATTCTTTATCCCCTTTTAATTCATCCTATCAAATATTTCCCGTATTTTTCTCCTTATATCCTGATTCTTCTCTCTTTGAATTTCTCTCATTCTTCCTTTTTCCATTCTTCTTTAAAACTAGCATTTTTTATGGTTTATGGTTCAAAGCAAATATTAACAATAATTCAAATGTTTTAACTTTATTGAGATTTATTTATTTTAACTCTTCATATGGCACAGGTGAATCCTTACATTAAAAATATGATTCAAGTGATAATATGTTTAGTGTTGTTCTATAGTTTAAGCATTCATAAAACTGTCCGTCTACTCTACGCAGAGACGGAGAAATGCGCTCAGTCCGAATGAAACCAGCAAAAAAGTCGGAGAAAAGAAGGCAGACTATAGTAACCCGTCCATTAATAAAGTAGTTGGCTAATATCTCTGCAAGCCAAGCTGTCCTCCAATATCCATTCTAAATTTTCAATAGATTATAACCAAAATAAAGAAATTTAACTCTTTTTCATCCTTATTAAATAGAGTTGTAAGATTGATCCAAAATTAACATATCAAACATAAACAAGTGTACCAGAATTTTAAATAGGCCTCAACCCACTTAAAACTATAGACTCAAAAAGATATTATTGGGTTGGCCACACTAACTTTCAGGGCACAGACTTGTTTATGTATAAAGGGTGCTAAAAGTCCCAACACGATCATAATGCAATTACTATTACTATATCTCCATAGGATTAAAATAATGTCGGATTTGGCCAACTTTTGAACGACGGCTCTTTCTTCTCTTGGGGATGGAAAAGTTTTGAAGTTACCAGATTACAAGTTCAGGATGAAGCTACTAAGACCAAACTACTATTAGTAGGACACAGTATCCCACTGTTTCCAGACGAATTCAGAACCTGTTCCTTCACTTTTACTTCAACAAGGAGAACAGTTGCCAGAGACCATTTCTTAGCTGATAGGATCATATTTAATTACAAGTAGTAAGTGATCTGGTCTGTAAGGGGCTTATCTTGCTGGCATGACGAACCTGCCAGTCTCTCATTATTTTATAATGTCCGGCCTTTAATTGAGAATAGTTGGGGAAACTTAAAAAAGAAGGCTGCCAGGAGTGGTCTGAAAAAGAAATCCTACAGTTCCATCTCCGAGATTTAAAGAGCCGTCATTCAGTGCAGGATTGACCAAATCAGATAATTTTTTAACCATGCATTCCTGACATTTTTATAATGATCGGATTATAATTAAGCTTTTGAGGGAAAAAGGTGTGGATTTTTTATACTTAAAATCTCACATCCTTCTTCTAACTAATTATTTTCACGTGAATTATTTTAACAGAAGTTTTTTCTATAACATGATTTGACACAAATACAAATGATTCTGATCCGGGAATTCGTGAATCGTGGATATTGAAAACAGGAATTGATTTTGCATGATCTTTTCTTAATCTACGAATTAATTTTATCTTTGTTCGATATCCTGTTAAAATTGATTATTTTATGATCAGAGTTGAATGTTACAGCTTTCCGAATTCGTATGGACTCTACGTTCTTCGGTATGAGTCGTATTTAACAATTTTCTCCTTATAGATGCATCAGATAGAAGTAAGATTAGTAGCGATCCTTTAGAGCTAATTTTTCGCCGTAAGTCTATACCCCCGTTTATTTTTCACGAATACTCCTTTAAACGCCAGGAAATTTTTCTTAGCTAATGAGAGAACAAAGAAATCGCGAATCAAGAGATCAAACAGATTCGCGTAAAATTGAAAAAAGTGCCCCTTTTGGATATCAAGCGATCAGAATTACGACCTTAGAGCTGGTAACTTTAGTGTTGGATACTCTTAACCCCGATCCTTTGTACTCGATATCCACGTATAATCTTAGAGCTCTGGTAACTATAGTGTTGGATACTCTTAACCCCGATCCTTTGTACTCGATATCCACGTATAATCTTAGAGCTCTGGTAACTTTAGTGTTGGATACTCTTAATCCCGATCCTTTGTACTCGATATCCACGTATAATCTTAGAGCTCTGGTAACTTTAGTGTTGGATACTCTTAA